CTCTGTGCACCTAGGGAAAGCACTTTTGCTGATGGGAGAAGGGATAGTCGTGGAAAATCACCAAGAAATGGTTGGCCCTCCCAGTCAGGCCTGCTGTGACCTGGGCAGGGACAAACCTGGGCTGTTGGGAATCTCAGCCTCCATAAACCTTTGTTTGAGTCTCTCCTAGAACCGTGACCCAGTCCAGTCTTACATCAACATTCTTTGTGCTCAAGTTTCTTCTCAGCTTTTCTCTCCACTTGTTCCTCCCCAAATTTAATGGCGGTGCAGGGCAGGGAGCGGGGAGCATCCTCTGGAATGCTTGGGACGTTATCTTTACATGACCCATAAAGCTACCCAGCAGAGTATGTGCTCTACATGTAGCAGGAGCTCTATAAATGCTCATTTAATGGAATTGAATAAAAAATTGGTTGTCATCCTCATCCAACATGTACTGCTTTTCCCGTCTGCAACATAAAATGCAAATTCTCTGCAGCTTAGTGGAAAAGGTTTCCAGGGCCAAGCTCTGTTTTCTGCTTTCCTGCCTGCTGGCCTACACCTGCCGCACTCTTAGTAACATGGCCCCCTCTTTCTCCCGTCCAGGTTCCTGTCCATGCTCTTCCTTGTCCCTGGAATGTACCGTGCCAGGTAAACTGCAAGACCTTTAAGAAATCAACTCCACAGTCACCAGCACGCTGTGAAACCACGCCCACCTCCCCATACCCTTTCCTCTGCTTGGTCTCCTGTGACCCGTTGTACCTATTATTGTGAGACCGCCTGCAGTGCCTTAGTATGAATATTCATTTATGCCTATTTCCTTCAGGGGACTTGAAATTAGTCAAAGACAGGACCTTGTCTTACTCATCACTGCTTTCTCAACGGTACACACCGTCCAGAAGTAGTAGGTGCTCAACAAATTGTTTGATGGTCAAATTAAGGAAAGAAGGACTGTCTGTGGTCCATCCACCTACTCCTCAGAATCTCCAGCGGGGTCTTCTGGTACCGGTCCTCCTGCTTGCTTTCCCTGTCCTCCCGTGACCGTCTCCTGGAGCTCAGCACAAAATGGCACCAGGACTGCACGTTGTTGCCGTTTCTGCAGTGCACTTGTGCATGAGGTCTATATGCTCCTACGCAGGTTTCATAAAGTCACCCATGGCCATTGCTGCTCACTGTGCTCCTAGGCTCCCAATGTTTACAAAGACATTGATTCGGGCCCTTTATTACTAGAAGATGTGGAGACCCATGAAGATGAGTTCCTCCACGAAGCCCTCCCGCACTAGTCCAAACCCACAGGCATTTGCCTCTTTTCCTGACTTTTACTGCCTTATCCTGCTTACGCAGCCCAACTCCCCCACCTGCTGCTCTTTAACTGTTGTCTTTAATTGTGGCGCTGTTGTTTGGGACTTGTACGCAGTTGCCATGGATATTTTTTCTACTGGTTCTTTTGAGACTCCTCAGCCCCACAGTTCACAATACTTGATACATGGTCAGAATATGTATCAGATGCACATGTAAATACGTAAAAACTGCATGACTGTGTTAGATGTTCCTATGCTGACTTTCTGCATCGCACTCCAGACCGTGGTTTCCCAAGGGAATTTTACCTCATCTGACTAGCTGCCCATGAAGTATTATTAATCAGCAACATCTGAATAACTACGATTTCTGCCATGGAATAAATCTCCAATAATTTACACATTTTTTACTACGTAGTTGTACTTTACTGTGGAAGCCATACTATTTAGTGCCTTGGTTCAAACACTGAAAAAAAGTGCAAAATTCCCCTACAGAGAGAGCTGCTTTCCCTAGAGCCTGAGCAGGCATGTCCCTGAAGAATGTGCTTGAACCTTGGGCCAGAGGTACAAGCGTGAATGCCCACTGTGAGGGTCAACTGCAGCTAAGTAGGCTAGGTGGGGTGTTTTGGTGTCTACAATCACCATATTGGTGTCTTTCTGAACACCCTCCTCCCACACACTTAGCAAGATGGCCTTCCTTCTGCAGGCTGGGAATCTCTGAAAAGCAACCCTCGACAGTTTCACCTCTGCCTTCTCTCCTCCCCCCTCCAGTTCTGCCCACACTTGCCAGGTTTGCCATATTCACAGGGCCTTGCTCAGCTAAGCTCATACAGTAAATGCAGACCCTGATCATGTCAATGAGTGCCTGGCATTCTGAATTAGCCTCTGGGAGGCTCACAGGAACAAGCTCATGGCGACCAAGTCAGCAGGTGGTGCTGTGATGGACAATTTTGGGGTCTGGACCGTTCACAGCCTTCTACCACAGCTGCCTGGAATGCCTGCATCTGAGGCCAGCTGCGGCCAGGGGAAAGGTCCCCCCACCTACTTCCCACTCCAGGATGACTAGGGAGTCTCTGACTCTAAAGCCACTTCGTGGGGTTTTAGGTTTAGAAGGGTAAGAAAGGTGGTAATAAATACCTAGCCTGAGTCACCTGGCTTGGAATTCAGGGTTTGGAAAGTCACCCAAATGCCTGCATTCCCAAAACCAACCTTCTAGAGAGTCTGGGGCTGGCAAGTTTCAGATTCATTTGCGTCAACATGTTGTTTGGTTAATGCAGCTGAGCATCTAAGCCCATTTTCTTAGAAACAGGAAATCCCAGAGTGCCAAGAGTAAACAGGTCCCAGCCCCCAGAGGTTCACGTTCACTTAGGAACTCCGAGACCACAGGGTCTGCGGGGCTGCGTGCCTGAGCCAGGCGTATTCTCCTGCCCAAAGAGATGGTCTCTCTGCAGCTCAGTGGCCGGGAGAGCTGTGGGCTTGACCATGCTCCCAAGAGGCTGGGGATAGGCTAAGGACAGGATCCCAAGGTCAAAGGTAAGATCAGGGAGTGTCAAGGGTCTTTTATAAGTTGGCTAACATTTCCCCAAGAATCCCCACCATAGACTCAACTCTAATTGCTTCCCTTTTTATTTTTCCTGTCCTCCATCTAGTCTGTTTTATCCTTTATCCATCCCTACCATCAGCACAGTGCCTGGAGCAGGAGGCACTAAATAGGTATCAATGGAATGAATAAATGATTGACTGAGTGGTTCCAGGTGAGTCAGGCGTCAAGGCAGGGCCTGCCTATCCCAGCTCTGCAAGGCATCGCATAGCAGTGAGCCGCACAGCTGCTGATCCTGACAGGCTCAGGGAGAATTCTGGCTCACATACTCATTAGCACCCGGTTGGGAAGGACAGACTCTGGGGAAGCAGCTAGGAAGTCCCAGCTTCTCCTGGTCGGTGGAGGGAGCTCAGGTTAGTGAGGGCTGGAGGAGAACAAAGTCGGTGCCTGCGCAGAGAGGGAGGGGCAAGGGGTTCCCTCACCAGACAAAGAACCCTCAGAAAGCTACCCTCCCAACTTCACCACTCAGGGAGACAGCGGGAGGACCCAGCCTCTTCTTGACAGCCAGCCGGTCAACCCTGACGTCAGGCTGGGCAAAGCAGAGGTGGAGGGCGACCCGGATGCGGAGTCCCTGAGCCTTACTGCAAGGCTGACGACACAAGAGGCGACTCCTCTATTATTAGGAGTTGCTTTCCACATGTGTAAGTCCAACAGCCTATGCAAAAAGAGGTCTCATAGTAGCAGGAAATTCAGTTGTGGGAGGCTTCGTGTTGGCAGATTCGTCCTGGGTTGGCCTGTGACCTGGTCTGGGCTGGTGGCCGTCTGGGCTAGCCCAGGGACACAAGCTCAGGCGGCCCACCTGCCGCCTGGCCTGTGGCTCCACCACTCCAGAGGGACTCTGACTGGTAACATCATTGCAGGCGGGGTCATTCCTAAACCTATAAGGATGTTTTATTAAAAAGTAAGAGAAACAAGTTCAGATCTGTTATAAAATGCCATCCCAGGTCCAGAAATTCAGCAGAAGCAATATGACATACTGTTCAAAAGCCCGCCCTTGATACTCATTCAAGGGTTTCCTTGACATTCATAAGAAGTTACGATGTGCAATAATATTTAATGATATGGGAACATATTGATAATTTAATATTAATAAAAAGATGTTATAAAACAATGTGATTGTGGTTAAGTGAAAATTAAATGTATGTATCTATATGCTTGCATTAAAAAGGCTTGAAATAAGTACACCAAAATATTAATAGGTGGCTTTCTGGTCTGTGAGACAATGGGTGCTCTTACATTTTTCTTTTAAGATCTTTCTGTATTCAAAATGTTACAGAGATGATGTATTATGTTGGAAATCATTACTTTTTATGAATACTTTAAAAAGCAACCATAGATTTGATGAGTAAAATAAAACTTTAAGCCGAAACACAGAGAAGGCAGCAATGTATGCGGCGTGGGGCTGCTAGGGGGCCCGCTTCTCTCAGTGTTGGGTGGATTCAGATGTACCTCACCTTCCTGTCCCTGACTTCCCCTCCAATCTCTCTCCCCTCTGCACAACTCTGCTCATTCAGCTGAGGTCTTTACAATGCTCCAATGGCGTCTTGCTTTCCTACAGCACCTGCCTTCCTGTTTGTTCCAGGAAGGCAAGAGAGACCCTAGAAGCAAAGGCAGATGTGATGAACATAACTCAGCTTCCAAAGCCCAGTGTCAGTGTCACTTGCCACTCGAGACTGTCTGAGAGCTCTCCTGTCCCACAGGGCCCCTCCTTTCTGCATCCAGAGCTCGAACTACCTTGTACAAAGCACCATGGGACCATTAATTAGGGAGACCATTAATCAGGGTCTTCCAAATGCATCATCAGAAACCAGCTGCCTTAGACTCCCAGGAGAACTTATTCAAGGTATAAATAAACAAACAACACACACATGTGTTGTATATATGTATGTGTGGGCATATGTACACATACATGCATACTTATATGCACATATCATACACATATATGTGAGAAATGAGAGGTCAAGCACACACACACACCCCATTTTGTCCTCACACCATTATGAAATGGTATATTTTCTTCATCTCACGGATGAGGAAACTGAGAGTCTAAGAGGTTAAGTCACACGGCCGGAAGTGGCAGCTAGAATTTGAACGCAGTCCGGCCTGTCCCCAAAGCCCCGAGTGCCTTTACCAGAGTGCCTTTCTCCCTCCAACACTGCATCCCAGCAAACTGTATGGCTGCAGTGAGTCCTAAGGCTCCACAATGACTGGCTTCAACTGGGCCTCCAGAGGAACCATAACAGACTTTGTGGAAATATTCACAACAACCCCTTTACTTCCAGGTTCTGAGATCAGAAACGGAAGTTTCAAAATACCGAAAGTTCGTTTATGTTGAACATACTGCTTAGGCTAAAAGCAGGAAGTCCAAGAAAGCCTGATCTCATGAGATTTTCAGCCCGATTTGGATCCACATCTGCACTTCTGGATTTACCACTGAGTCCGACCTCAGCCGCTCTGTGGCTTCTCCCATTTCACCAATTCTCCACCTCTAGCATGGGGTACAGGTAAGTAATAAAATCTGCTTCTGTTAACTAAGATCTGTCCAGTGATTGGCCAGCTGCAAGGTGGTCAGCTGACACAGGCAGTAGAGAGGAACAATTAAAATGGAAAAACATGCAGGTTTCTCTCCATTAAGTTAAAAAAAAATCCCAAACCCAAACAAACAAAAGCTCTAAACAATAAGTCCCCCAAACAACGGCCTCTGTTTTTGTCCCCAGGTGCAGGAAACAAGTAGAAAGGAATCTTGCCACCTACTCCTTCCCACTGAATGGCCTTCCCATTGGTCAGACTCCAGCTGGGCTGGAAGAGGAAGGGAAGGTAGTGGTGCTCAGCAGCAGGCCTTGGATTGCCAGCTTTTGGGGAGCCTCAGAAGGTTGGGGAGAATGATTTCGGTATCCTGAGTCCCACAATGTGAGGAATTTTGGAGAGCAAGTCCCTCATGTTCTGGCTGACAAAGCGCAGACTAGAAGTTAAGTGATTTGCTCAAGGCTACACAGGGCAGGAGCTCGGATTCGAACCCAAGTCTACTAAATCAGGTTGCCTCTTTTTCCAGTTATAACAGCTGCCCTGCCTACCTCACCACATTCAAATGAGTTAATAGACATCATGGAGGTTTTAAATGACAAAGCATTAAGTGAATGTTAGCAGAGTTTTATATATATTGCCATTAGGTGGGTAGTTTGTATAGCTGATGCAGTCTTTGTATCCCTTTCCATTCCAGAGTTTTCTGAGGATGCTATTATCTATGAGGCCTCCCTGCCAGGAGGTTCGGAGGCTCCCAGGACGACCCCCACCCCAACCACGCACAGCCCCCACCATCCCTGGCACCACCTGAGCTGTCCCCATGGGAACAGCTAGAGGACTTCTGAATCCAGCAGAATCCACAGGGCACTGTGGTTTGGAGTCCTCTGCTCACAGACTGGGGCACATTCTCCTGAAGCACAATTTTGAATCAGCCACACCCAACTGGAACAGTGCAGTGGAGGCCACAGGCTGCCCCACAGGGCCACCCCCTTTTCAGTTTGAGGAGCTCAGGCACACGTGGGTTATTGTCTCACCTTGTAAACCTGTGCAAATTGGGTGGAAAGGACATGAAGCACGACACATGTTGCAGCCGTGCGGCTTCATGTCTGCTATTTCCCCTAGCTGGGCCTCAGTTTCCTCATCATAAAATAGTAATTGCAATGAATACCTTGTGCGTTGGTGTGGGAACCAAGGGGATGTTTACAAAATAGCCGCCACATACAGAGATGCTAGCTCTTCCTGCCTTCCCCTGAAGTCCAACACAGTTGTTCGGGGGTCGGGGGGGTGAACCCTAGGGACCTAAATGTCTCGGAAGCAACACCTCTGAGCTCCCAAAGGTCTGCCAGAATCTGAAAGAACAAGTCCTCACATTTGCAATGCCCTTTTTCCATTTTTGGAGGAATTTCTTACATTCAGCAATCATTTAATAAATGCCATCTTATAGCAAAACCTGAATGAGTCTGCTTTCCTATTAGAGAGGGCAGCCTGGGCATTTCCTCTCTCCTCACAAAGGTCCTGTTCTGTTTCTGTAGCCACATCACAGGTGCACATTCTTTGCTGGCTACCCTGGCTTAGGGTGCACTTGGAGCTGGGTGAAAGGGTGATCTCCCCATCACTCCAAGGTGTAGTGGGAAGAAACTGGGCCTTTCATGCGGCAGGGTCGGGCATTCTCCCCAGAGCACTACATTCCCCAGAAGCCAAGAAGTAGACAGAGGCTGAAGCCACCGCTGCTTCCTCCCCATCTTGGAAAATTACACAGAGCACCGCTTTGCCCACTGGCTGCCAGGCAGATGCCCTGCTGCTTTCTGAAGCTATCCCACCTCCTGAGAATGGAAAAACAGCAGTGTGCATGCCCACAGTGACGAGCTTACCCTTTTCTCTTCCTCCTCCCTGCCCTGGAAAAAGTACAGGATCTGTAAACAAGTCATTAGATTCGTGATCCTGCCCAATTTAGACTCTTTGTCTCAGTTTTCTACCGAGTAAACTCGTGGTCACACCCACCCAAACCAAGCAGAGCCCAGAAGGAATGCAGAGCCCAGCAGCCAGGCTAACCACAGCTGACCCCACGGTGCCCAGGGCCCTGTACTCCCGGGCCAGGAGGGGAGAGCAGGGAGCCCAGACAGCTAGGTTCCCTCTGAACAGTGGTGCCCTTGGACTGAGCTAAGAGCTCGGTCTCTGGGTTCAATTCCCCAACGCAGTTTTAATTTTGCAAATGCCTCCCCAAACTATCAAAAATAAAAAATCCACCTCCTTTGAAGTCTGGCAAGAAAACCCCCAAGATCAGCTTCTCTTATTCCTGTACTTCCCGTACAGGCAGGCTTCTAGAAAACAGAGGTTGGAGAAAATGAAAGTCAATGCCAAAAACTAACCAGACAGAAGAATAACTGCTTTTCCCCATGGCCCCCCACCCCCAGCTCTGGCATTATGGGCTGGGGAACTGGGCCCCTCTCCTGCTGCTGAGGATCTGTTTATTTTGCACTCCATAAAGGGAAACCAGGCCCTTTTCTGACATTTTTGGCTTGGAGGGGGTGGGGAGAGAAGGAGGTCCAGAATTTAAACTCAAAACCAGATCAACTTCTCTAAATCTCCTGGTGCTTTTTCTGTGATTCCTCAATGGACCACATTGTACGAATTAGGCTTTTAACTCTCACAGCCCCTGCGCCCCCATCTCCAATAGTCTGGCTCCTAACCCCTACCAATGCCATAAACTGCAATGACCCCTTCTTGACTTCCAACCACGCCAGGGCTCCCCAGATGAAATTAGGGACAGCCGTGCTCACATGCAGCTGGCAGCTCCCCGTTCCCCCTGCACCACCAACCCCACTGCCGCTCCTGCCGCCAGTGGGGAAATCTGTGCCCAAAACCTTGTTCTCCTGAGTGGACGATGGCTTCCTTTAAACAATGAACAGGGCATTTCCTTTGTCCTGGAAATGTTCCGCTTGTCATCCATGTTATCCTTATCAGCAGACCACAGGGCAGCAAGGAGAGGCCCCGGTGTGCTCAGGACCTATGGGGTGTCACTGCAAAATGTTTTCTTCGCTTTTTCCTCTGCCTCGAATTCAAAAGCATGACCTTTACGAGTGGAATTCAATCAGGTCATCTCTGAGATTCCCCAGTGGGGAAATAAACTAACACAGGCAAAGTCTATTGTTTCCATTTCAAGAAGGTAGAAACTTTGTTTTCTCTCTTTAGCATCCAACTAAATGAGGTGGGATGGGGAATAAGGGAGGTAATAAAAAGACCCTTAAAAATTGTTCAGGATCTTGTTAATAAAACATAACCAGCACTCTGCTTTCCCTTTGCACTAACAGAGCCAGTGGCCCCAAAAGAGATTGCCGTTCAACTTCCCTGTGGCGTTCACTAGTTCTAACACAATTTGTTTTCTATTGGACAGGTTGGAAAATTTATTTATTTTTTCACCCCTTTAAACAACAGGAGAGCAAAACAGTTAGGCAAAGGGGTGGAGGCATGTGGGAACACCAGAAGGCCAAAGGAGTTGAAAAATAAACTTCTACTAATGTTAACACTCTTGTATTCCAGGGACAGCATAATTAGTTGTATATGTTTAGTCACTTAGCAACCCTGAGCTCTTATTCTGAAAAGCTCAAAATATTTCACATATGCAGTGAGTAAAGTATTTGGGATCAGACAGACTTCACTAGCTGCCTAACTTTTGGCAGGTCACTTGAGTTTTCTATGCCTCAGTTTCTCTCATTGGTAAAGCATGTCTAATCGCAGATGGATTCCATGAGCTGCAGTGGGAATGAAGTGCTAAAATTCATTTAAGTGCTCAGGACAATGAGTGGCTCATCAGTTAATTACTCAAAAAATATTACTAGTAGTATTGACATTATTGATACCTCCTGCCAAAGTTGTTTTAAAGTAATAATGAGGTAAAGGCATAGTAATTCTAGAAAAGATCTTGAAAGCCAATCCCAGCTCTTAACCTCTTTAAAGTCTTAGGTCGCAGAGCTTTCTCTGAAATTCTAGCAAACATCAGATGCTACCAAATAGCATGCTTCTTTGGTAGACGTTTTTTGGTTGTTTTTGATCTTGCAAGATGCTTTCAGGGCCATCTTTATTACAACATCACTTAGAGGTAAAATTATCATTGGCAGAATCTCCCAGTTCTGTAGTGGAGGAAACCGAAGCACGGGGACACCATGGCCCTTGCTTAAGGACAGGTAGTTCATATCAAAGTCAGCAAGTATGACTCCCAGAGCTCTATTAGCCAAAGAGTTGCCTTATGCTGCCAGTGAGGAGTTATCTCAGGTGGAGAACAAGTTGATTCCATAGGCCGGGACTTTTCAAAGGTGGAAGTAAGCCTTCTGGATTCTTCTTGCCCTTGAGATTTCTGGATGCACCATGTATTAAAAGCTCATCAACCAATACATATGTACTCATGCACTCATAAACACCAGTAAAACACTAATCTGATAATGTCTTCAAAGGTAATTGTCCTCTAAGATATTCTTTATTACATTTTACTTGCCTTTATTAAAGAAGAAAACAGCTAAGAAAATGGCTTAAGGACCAACAGATAATGCTTGGAGAGCACAGTTAGAATGATAGAATTTAGCAGTACTACGGAGCAGCCAGGCAGGAAAGCAGCCACTTCATTCCTTCACTCATTCAGCTAAGACTCGGGGAAGCCTATTCTCCTTTAGGCTTACTGCTGCTTATCATCATTCAGAGGTCAGCCTAAATGTCACTTCCTTAGGGAAGCATTTGACCTCTAAGACTAGGTTAGGTCCCCATATTGTACTCTCCTGAAGCATGCTCTACTTCCCTTTTCACAGGACTCTTTGCACTTATAAACTGCCTGAGTATTTGTTTTCCTTCCTTGACTTATGATTTCAGTCACAGTAGAAGCCTCTCCTGTCTTTTTTTACTTCTGTATCTCAGCCCCTAGCACATAGTAGGTGCTCCATAAACACGTGAATATATGCCAGGTGCTGAGGTGTCAAAGACAATCAGCAGAATGTCTGCCCTCAAGGAGCTTACAGCAAACATTAAAAACCTGCACTTAGGTGCTTAAAACCACATAACACCAGTAACTCAATTACCATGGTCACAGGATTTATGCTGCACACACTTTCTCACCTTATTCCAGATGCAATCTGGCAAGAAACAAAGGTGGAAGATTTCATATTGGAGAGAGATTTTTCTGAAAAGGCATAAACCACAGAAATATCCTACAAATGATGGACTCAACATGTGGTCAGGAGACCCTATTAGAGAGAGACCCTAATTGAGCACTCACAGGGTGCTCTGGGCTGGTCTGTAGTTCATCCTTTCTGGAGGACAAGGGTGAACGAGAAGCAGGGGCACAATGGGTCAGCACCCCCAACACCATCATGTGGAGTCAGTCTGCAGGGAACTTGGCCTTGTTTCACCTGTGGCATTTGTCCATCTTGGGTCTAAATGATTCAACTCAGAAATGCATGCCACAGATTCAGTGATGGATCCAGGACTGGCCTTCACTGTGATGTCAACTGTGGGTCTGCTTATTACAGAGGCCTTAGTAATGAGGTCAGATCTCCCCTGGGGAAGGACTTGGTGGGGGTGGGGAGCATTATTCCTCATGAGAACTCCAAAGCCACAGCAGGAAAAGCATGTCATATGTTTCTATTATCCATGCATGAGGGCCATGAAGGAAAGACAGAAATTGCTTCATGTCCTGGAGATACAAAAGCATGTGGATCTGGGTTACTGAGAGTACCTTGGAAGCACATAAACCTAGGGGATGCTCACTGGAGGGGAAACTGGATTCAAAGACCACCACTCTAGCTGGTTATTTTCTAAGTGATTTGATTCATTCCCATTTATACTTATGGAGAAATCTTCCTACAATGGATTATAAGAATCTGGGAAGTAGAAACACCAACCATCTGTTAACAGGATGTAGTCTTATATTATATGAAATCATATATTCAGGGTAGCATAAGCATTAGAGCTGAAAATTACCTTAAAAAAAGTTAGCACAATGCCAATATTTCATAAATGAGGAAACTGAAATCACCATGTTATATAGGATTCTCTTTTGCTGAGGTTGTTTTTCAATTAAAAAGTATATAAAAAAGCCCATACCTTTCTTTGACAAGCCCAACATACATTTAACCATAATTTGTGAATATCCTCATGATAAATCCCAGATGTCACCATTTCACAGAAGGGAAAATGAAGCATTATACTCTTAAAGGTCAGCACAGAATGGGTGATAAAGCCAGGAGATTGGGGGGGAAACCTTAGTTCCAGACCCAGAACAACATTGATAATTTCTGGGGAATGCTGAAAAATTCACTTCTCATTTTGTTTTTCTTTAATGTTAGTCAAAAGAGTAAATGGAAGCCTTACTCTTCATGTGGACAACACATTGCTAGCTCAGGTAAAAATTATCCATGTGAATGTATCTTCAGACTAAATTCAGAGTTATGACATCTTTGACC